GTGTTGGCAAATAACAAGCCCAGATCAATAACACACTTATGGCATATCGTACCATCAACAAATTAAATAATTTATATTTTTATTACAAAGCTTTCAATCACAATTATGTAATTAGGAGAAGTAATGGTCGAACCCATAGAAAAATAAGATATATAGATCGTTTTTGTTGTTTGAGTGTTCTTGTAGTGTAAAAGGGTATTTGTTGTGTGTAAGTTGCTTACAATCAATTGAAAGTAATAAGAATTAACAATATTAAAGAAGTCTTGGTTGAACTTTAGTATCCACTTTTAATTTAGTTACCGATCATCGATTAAATAATTAACTTATCCTAATCATGAATATTCACCGTAAGACAACGACATATATATTGACCTAGTAGTTCCTTACTTAGTCGTTAACCGAATTTATGATTCCCAATTAATTCCGTAGCTATTGAACAACCTACTAAGTGTTAGATAGAGTTAATCCAACAATAGTATTAAATAGAGAAAGACATGTGAAATTAAGCCACCTTCCTAAGCGTTAGAAAAGATGTAACCCGGTTCTATGTTTCATAAGGAATTGAACAAAAATGTGAAAAATAATAATCAATCCCTAGTTACTACCACGTGCGAGTTTAAACAATCAATTACATAGACTTAAATACTTAACTAGCACTAAATTGATATGATAAACAACCGGTATGCACTCGATCAAATTGATTATACAACTATGAACCAATCATGCAAAAAAACATATCCAATAAAGATAAGTTTATAAATAAAACTCATAATTTCACAGACAATTAACCAAAAGCTTTAACTTAATTCAACAAATAATGGAGTTTAGTTCCTTATAATGGATTACAAATAGAGAGTTTTTTATGAACGATGGTCTGCTAAAGGGTGAGAATCACGAAATAATGCCTAACTTTACTCGTTTATATCTAAAATTAGGGTTACATCACATAGGTGTCAACCTCCACATAGCCACACGGTTTAATACATAAAGTCACACGGTTTGTTACTTGATATTACATGGATTGTGAATTAAAAGTTAATAAAATAAAACAAAAATTTAAAAATATATATATTAATAAAATATATTTACTAAATCATAAATAAATAAGATCTTCCTTTTCGGCTTGAAAGCTATGTTAGGAAATCAGATGCTGGTATTACAATTCTTTAATAAAATAGTACATCAAGTGTATATAATAAAAAATAGTTTTGCTTGTAGTTTTCACTAGTAAACTAAAAACACTATGTAATTTTTTTAAAAAAATTAGGATTTGAATTTCATCCTTAACTTTTTGTTGCATAAAGAATCAAATAAAACCAAAATGTACGTTATGTTAAGAGACGCAATAAACTTTCCAACAAATCAAAGAAAATTGAAGTCTTAAAAGAAATTTTCGAGAAGCATCTTTAATGATAATCCTTTTTTTTTTTATACCGAACAGGGACATAATCTTGACAATTTTTAATCCACCATAAAAGTGTTGCAAAAAAAATTTATGGATAACAATAATAGGTTTTTTTTGTTAATATATTTGATATTAAAATTATTTTACAAAAGAAAAATTTCCTGCAACGTATACAATTAACGGATAATTAGTTTGTTTGCTTCTATTTCCATTTAGGATTTGAAATTTTTAATCCACTCTCAAACAAAACACATAAAACGACGTGATTTTTTTTTATTCTCATTTATTTGATTAATTACAAATCTATTTTAAAATAAATAAACTTTTATATATTTCAAGATAATAAAATTTTTGAGAATGTGCACAATAAATAAAAAATTAATACATATACATATACATACATACATACATACATACATACATACATACATACATACATACATATATATATATACATACATATATATATATACATATATATATATATATATATATATATATATATATATATATATATATATTATTTTGATAATTAATTTACATATTTAAAGCTAGATTTTTTCACAAGTTATTATCATACCATTACCAGTCACTTTTACGAGTGTCGTATCCTTAGCCCCAATCCGTTAAATGATTTAAATTGATCTGGGCCTGCTCTAAACAACAACTTGACAATGGGCAGTAATATTGATTGGGTCTGGCTCAATGGCTCGGCCCTTAATGCACCTGTTGTTCTTTGATTCGATCCAGGGAGCAGATGAGTTGGACTTAACTGCACTGCACTTGTATATATGGGGAAGAAACCCAACCCTTGAACCAAGTTACTTATTATTATTATTTTATTTTTTATAAATATTTTAGGCTAACAGTTAAATTTATTTTTATACAATAAGATAATTTATCTTGTCTTTGTATCTACAAGTGAACCAATTTTATCATTATATATACTTTAAGTTTCTAACATATTTTTTTTGATAAATACACTAATTTGTATTTATATAATACTCAAAATCTTTTGTATGTTTTTGTGTTTCTAATTGTATATTATTTATCTCTAAAAATATTTGAAATATTTAATCTATCATTCTGATTAATTTTTCTATCCAAATATTTTTTTTGACTGAAATGCGCTTGATTAAAATGCAATAAAATGAAATAAAGAACTAAAAAATAAAACATGTAGATCATGTGATTTTAAGTATTTTTATTTTTTTTTCTCGTTTTATCAAAGAGTATTTCGGTAAAAAAAATCATGATAAAAAAATTCAATTGGAAGGATATATTGAATATTTTAATAATTTTTAAAGATAAAGGAGATGATTTTGAGTATTATACAAAAGAAATAGAAGAATTTGAAATCCATATTTCTCATAAGGTCTTCCTTTTCGGCTTGAAAGCTATATGTCCCTCGTTATGGATGGTGCTCTTTTCCTTGAAAAAGACAAGAGCCATTCTTGTATCCAAGAATTGACGTGATTTGAGACGGTTGATTTCAAATTATACATGGATGGAAAATTTAAAAGAACTCACAAATATTCTACCTGCAGAAAAATAAAACAAAAGAAGAGACATTTGTGTAATTAAAAGTTAGATTTTTGAAATTGAAGTTTCAAAATTCAAGAAAAGGATAGGGTTGGAATTTTATTTTATTATTTTATCTATTATTATTATTATTGGGCAAAAAAAAGTAAAGTGATAGGGTATCTTAAAATTTTAGTAAATTATAAATTGGTCCATCTAGTTTCAAAAATGAATTAGTTAGTAAAAAAATCTTAACAAAATTTATATTTTTATTTTTTAGTCAAATTAAAAAATTTATAGAATAATAATAAGTAAATTATAATAAACACTTTTGAAGTATTATAAAATCATAAATACTATTTAAAATTTTAACTAAAACTCTCTTAAATTTTTTTTATAAAAAAAATACTATAAATATTTTATTTTATACTCAAAATTTGTTGATTATCATAGGCATAAATTTAAATCCGAAAAGATATTTTAGATCCAAAAATATTTTTATCTCTAGTTTTTTTTTTCAGTTTTTTTTTATTTTCACTAAAAAACGAATAGCGAGACAAGATTAAAAAAAAAAACACGTGTTGTAATTTTGTAGAGTTAACAGTGCAATTTAACACTGTTAACTTAAAAAATTAACAGATGGATGAACTTTTATATATATCTATATATATAGAAGTAAATTTAAAGCAAAAAAGTAAAAAAATATGATAAAAAAATAAAAAAACGAAGAGTAGAATGACTCCTGCAGCCATTAACTTAAAATGATCGTAGGTAAGACTTGGGTTAATGGAATCATCGATCAAAAACACATTTAGTTTGAAAATCTCGGATTTGAGTCCAATCACTAGTCTTTGGGCAAGGTTATTTGTATACTTTGAATTAGTCTTATTCATATACATATCATAAGATTTAGTCTTTAAATAGCTAGATGTTGTGGATTCACTCCAAATGTGTGTAAATATAATGCAAAATATTCCCTGCTAAAATGTGTCATCAGCCTCCTTTTATATTTTTCCATTCAGTTTCGTCTGGCAGACAAAACGAAATCATGGGTCATGAACCTTTTAAGTTGTGTACATGATTTACGTATTTACAGTTCACAGAAGTTGTCTGTTGAAAAGATCTCATGTCCATAAAGCATAGCGGGGTCAGTCTAGAGACAGGGCATAGGCATTCCAGCTTAGTTCATTAACAATATGCTTCTTAAAAGTCAAAACTGCATGAATTGTGTGAGTCAATTCAGTTTTGTCACTGAACAAGTCAACATAAACCAGATAACAATTTAATATTCCAATTGAAACAGCAATTACAACGAAGCCTTTTGACTTTCCAACGAACAACACGGAGCAGAAGCCATTGCCCCAGTCTCCAACCTCGCATGTTGCAAGACAGCAGGATAATAATATTGTATTTCACGTTCGGACCAGATTCAACCGTCCAGGAGCGTTTTATTCCAATGGTTTACAATACCATTTTTTGTTTGTTTTTATTGATTTTGTTTTTTGTTTTTTTTTCTGCATATATTCTATTCCAGAAATTTTATAGCATTCAAACAGTAACTAGTAATATTTATTTATAAAGAAAATATAGACACAAACAAACATAAAATAAAAAATATACAAAGCTTTTTAGAATTTTTGAATTTGCATGAAAATATTTTTATTATTATTTTTTTTAGATTTTAATGTGATTTTTTTTTAACCTTATTGCTTGAAATGAATTTATAAAATAAATATCATTAGTTAGTTTTTAAATATTTTAAAATTTCTCGTCTTATTCTAGTTTGGAGAAAACATCTTACTTATATAAATTTCTATCTCGACAATTTGACAAAATCGTTACCTACTTCTTAAGAAGTTTCCCAGTACAAAAATTCAATCAAACTGGAACTGAAATAAATTACATTCGATTTCACAATTTTATAACTTGCATAAGAGGCCAAAACAGTAGCATTTTCACTGGGATCCACATGAAAGTCCCCATTTTTCTTTTCTTTCCTTTTATTTATTTATTTATTATTAATTATTTGCAGCTTTCACCCACGCAGTACCAATGCTTTACAGGAATGACAAAAATGAAAAAGCCGTTCGCATCCAACCACGTGTAGTTTGGACATATATGTTTTGGAGGATAAGTTTGGACATATATAATAGTAATGTTATTTATTAGTATCGTAGTAAAAATACAACAATAAGTCAAAAGTTTTTTTAATGTTAGCCAGATCATGCTTATGAATAAGTCATAAGATATTAATGTCCGGTAAACAATAAAGAAAGTACATGAAATTGTTTTTTTTTAAGGCACCATATTGTGAGGCATTAATTATCATGCACTTAAATATTTACTTTCCATATAAATCATAAAGTATTTAAGCACACATTTTTCCTTTGATTTTCGCTAAGAATCTGTAATTAATACTTGCTTAAATATCCATGAACTTTTTTGCCACCTTCCATTGATGAAAATTCTATTAAAAAAAAAGTTTAATTACTCTCGACATAGATCATAAAATAATTACATAATTTTTCTTTGATTTTCGCTAAGTATGTGCAGTTAATATTTGCTTAAACATCCATGAATTTTTTTTTTGCCACCATTGATGAAAATTCTACAAAAAAATCAATTGTACAATGACCAAAACATCTATTGTTTATTAATTTATATTATCGTGGGCATTTTAGTCGATCAAAATATTTTGACAAGAGTTGGTGGTTTTATATCTAATTATGGATTAATGAAAATCGACCAAAAATACCCCTATGTTGAAAATCAAAAGCAAGAAATACCCAAATTTACCGTCGGTTAAAACATAATTAACCGACAATAGAAATGGTCACAAAGGCAATTTTTAAAAATTAAAAACTCAACGACTAACAGTAGGACTGTATCCATTCAGTTATTGTTCAAAACTTTCCAACGAGAGCCTTGGCGGCTTTTGTTTTGACCCCTCCCTCTCTCTCTCTCTGCTAATCATGCAAGTATTCTATAATTAATTAAAAATTATTACTGCTCCAATCAGAATCAAATTATTTATTCAATTATGTAATTTCTTGGAATCTTCCTCAACATTCTGGTAAACCCTGCTTCTCCAATCCCTGAATTTACTCTTATTTATGATTCAATTCCTCTCATTTTCCCATATCTTGTTCTTTTAGGTCATTTTCTCTCCAAAAATGCAATCTCCGTTCCAATTAAAGGTCAGTTTTAGCTCAACTTATCAATGTCGGTTTTGTTCAACATTTGCAACCGGTAATTTGTATTTTCTGCTTGTTTTATCTTTTTTGATGAAGTTATTCTGTTTTTGCTTGAGATTGTCTAGTGTGAGTTTGTGTTGCATTTTATGGGCTTAACCTTCCAATTGAGTTTCGTTTTGTTCACAATGCTGTTTTTTTTTTTGCAAATTTGGTATTTTTGATTAGTAATTTGTTTAGTCAATTTTAATTTACGCGCTTGAATCGGGGAGTTTGGTATGTGGTGAATTGGTAATGGTTATGAATTTTATTTTATTTTTGAGCTGTAAATTTTATGCTTCTGTCGGAACCTTTTCCCCCACTCCTGGTGACTGCAATTGAGGAATTTTGTGTTTCTGATTTTAAATTGATTGATTTGCAGGTGTAGTTTTGTGTTTGTTGCTGGAGAGGCGTTAGGGATAATGATTTCTATTCCGAAATGGAAATTTTCATGGTCTTTGATAGCTACAGTTGCATCTGTAGTGGTACTAGTTTCGGTTGTTTGTCTATTCTTGTTTCCTTTGGTGTCAACTTTTGATTACTTTAGTGTTCGGCAAGTTTGGAATTCTTGTGTCCCGATTAATGAATCAGTGGATGGAAGGACTGATCATGTCCCAGGAAATTTACAACCAGCTTTAGATTTAGAGCATAGGTTTCCAGTTGATTTGCATCGGGCAGTGGTTTATCGTAATGCACCATGGAAGGCTGAGATTGGACGATGGCTTTCTGGCTGTGATTCAGTTACTAAGGAAGTCAGTGTTGTTGAGGTAATAATAGTATGAGAAATGACCGTTATTAATTTGAATCTTTTAGTGAGATTGTTGACCTCCATTCAAAATCTGTACTTGTGGGAAATGCTTGCTGTATGCAGAGAAAAAACTTGGCGAATCTTATCGATTTATGAGGCTAGATTCAGATCTTCCTTGACATGCTCTTTCTTATCTTTTAGATAGCTTAAGTTGATACCAAATTCTATATCAGTCTGATATGTAATATGGTCAACTGTTTTTTTTTTTTGGGCAGACAATTAGTGGCAGGAGCTGCAAAAATGACTGTAGCGGTCAAGGAGTTTGCAACTATGAACTCGGCCAGTGTTGGTGTTTTCATGGATTTAGTGGTGAGGTTTTTCTCAATTTTGTTTTTGCAATTCTTATACTTTCATCCTTTTGTTTTTAATTGTGTCACATTTAGTGAAAAATGTTGAACAAGTATCAGTAGCTAGAATCGGTTGCCACATCCTTTGATTATAGCTGTTAAAAGAACCATTACTGTTCTTTTGATGAACTGATAATGTACATGGAAGTTGAAGCTGTGGGATTGAAAAGGTCAGATGGCTACTGGGAAGTTGATTGTGAAAACACAGATGATTAGATTTGGCATTGCCATTTCACTTTGTTATGGGTAGACAAAGGATTCTTTTGCCCCATTATTTATTTCTACCTCCTGATTCCAAATACAGGAAACCATTGATAAATACAAATTGTGACTGATCTTTGCTGTCTTCCTTCTTTTTTTTTTTTTTTTTTTTTAATATGTATATAACAAGACCATTATTCTGTGAAGGAAGGGCACAATTGCTATCTTTTAATTGACGGCCTCTGTTTTTGTGTAACTTGAGCTATAAAAACGATGGAATAGAACTTTAGATAACAAAAACAAAAAATAAAGAATATTCAGAATACTTTTGTTTCTGGTGCTGAATTTTTAGGGGAAGGATGCTCTGAGAGACTGCACTTGGAATGTAACTACCCTAAATCACCAGAGCTACCATATGGGCGATGGGTTGTCTCAATTTGCCCTGCTCATTGTGACCCAATGAGAGCAATGTGTTTTTGTGGAGAAGGTACAAAATATCCAAATCGTCCTGCAGCAGAGGCTTGTGGGTTTCAACTGAGGTGAGTGCAGTTAGAATAAGGAAGACTATTTTGTACATCTCATTTGTTCCAATTTCCAAAATCTCTTATGATTCAACATTTCTCATCAGCTTACCTTCTGAACCTGGTGCTCCCAAACTGGCTAATTGGACAAAACCTGACCTGGACATATACACGACAAACAAAAGCAAACTAGGATGGTGTAATGTGGACCCAGCTGAAGGGTATGCCAACAAGGTGAAATTCAAAGAGGAATGTGACTGCAAATATGATTGTTTGTCCGGGCGGTTCTGTGAAGTGCCTGTGCAATGCTCTTGTATTAACCAATGCTCTGGACATGGGCATTGCCGTGGTGGTTTTTGTCAGGTAGTTTGTTCTTTCTTTAGTTATGATTCCAGAATCATGGGCATTTGATTTGCTTTGGGAAAGATATAAATGAACACAGTGTTTATTGGCAAAATTTGAGAATACTATACATTTGGAGTATTTATGAGGGCTTCTGTTGTAAACTCAAACTTTTCAAGCCTGGAATGGGTTTTGCCCTCCTTTCCTTCTTTCTTTTTTCCCCTGTGCAGAATATGAAATTGTCTCAGGGATAACAGTACGAAATTGAGGAATTATATGAACATTTCTGTCCTGTTTAGCTAGCTTATAGTAAAACAATTTTTCCAAATTTTTTGACATGATGTGGGAACCTCAAGAGTAACTTTTAGTAATATGAGAAGCTTAGGTAGCGATTTGTTTGGGGGTAAATAAACAAGTAATAGATATGAAGTATTACACTCTGTTATTCTTGGTATTTGTTTATGCTTAGATTAGAGATCCAGTGGTCGAGTGGAGTAGGGGTTAGCATGTAATAAATAAACTTACTGAATGGGAGCATTATTTTTTTTATAATCCCCCTAATATCTTCTCTTAAGATGAACTTTCTTGTTACCTTGAAAGTTATATTTCTTGAACCAATTTAGTTGTCTCGGTCTTTCTTGCAATCTACTATCTAATTATGTTAAGATTGTATTTCCAGTGTGCCAATGGCTGGTATGGAACAGACTGTAGTATCCCATCTGTTACATCATCTGTCAGAGAGTGGCCTCAGTGGCTTCGACCTGCTCAGCTTGATGTTCCTGATAATGCACATCTCACCCGGAAACTTGTTGATCTCAATGCGGTGGTCAAGAAGAAAAGGCCCCTTATATATGTTTATGATTTGCCCCCTGAGTTCAACAGTTTACTTCTTGAGGTGAGAATAGCATTTCTTTTCTTTCTTGAAACTAGAAACAAACTTCTTATGTTTGCCACTTAATCGGTTCTGTAGGGGCGGCATTTTAAGTTCGAATGTGTAAACAGGTTGTATAACGATAACAATGCAACAATTTGGACAGAACAGTTGTATGGTGGCCAGGTATTATTTGAACTGAGATTGAAATTGAGCTTATATCATGAATTGTAGCTAATGCTGCAGCTATGAACTTACAGATGGCACTCTATGAAAGTATTTTAGCTAGCCCATATCGAACATTAAATGGTGAAGAAGCTGACTTTTTCTTTGTACCTGTTCTTGATTCATGCATCATTACACGTGCGGATGATGCACCTCACTTGAGTCTGGAGGTATACTTCCTAGATCTGGTATATGGATATGTTATGTATCATGTGGTTCTATGTTTTATGCTTATATTTTCATAGAAAAGGGGAAATGAAAGGATGTTCTTTTGTTTCACTGTAGATATTCTGTTTTTTTGCTTATCTTTGAAATATAAAATGGAAATACAGCTGTGTATGTATGTAATGGTCTGGCAAACTATTAATCTTTACTTCCAAGCCATTTGATGCTGATTCGTTTTGTCTGTTATCTTGAATTCAGTCTTGCTTTGTCAAAGAAAGCAAATGGTCATTAGATTTTAACATATGTTCTCTTTTTGGTAATCTATACAACCAGCCATTTTGCTGTTAGAGTCTTCAACGGTGCCACCATAGAAAAACATTTTGAGCTAACTTTGGAGAAAAATCAATCTATATTACCTTTTACTGCACATATTGTTTGTTAATGAACGGTGTAGTATATCACAATATTCTGCTGCTTGTTTTGTTCATATTTGGATTACAGGGGTTTCACATAAGCTTTTACTTCAGTAGAATTTCCATTATTATTATTTTTTTCTAATTGTAACTCTGCATCATCCATCCTTTGTTTTCAGTTCTACTTTATTCCTATCCTACTTGTACATTTGCCTCCCCTTTTTACTAGCATAACACATGGGTCCTCTCTGCATATGTTGATACCATCCAACTCTTCATGAACTTAATTTGTCACTCTCACTTCTGATTTTGTGGACTCGTTATCCAGTGCCTCAGTGTGAGCACCTGAGGCCTTTTTATTGACCAAACTCCTTAGAGCAGAATAAATGCTTGTGGCTGTTTTATTAAATTCCCTTTTCTTTCACATATGACTGGAGTGTTTCATTCTCTCACCTTTTCTTAAAACATCGAATTTCCTTCAATCTTGGATATTTAGAAGTTTGAATAAAATACTCCTTAAAAGTGTTCTCCAGAAATGAGTCTGAGGAAGTTTGACTACAAAACAGGGTTGCGTAATAAGTCTCAAGCTAACTTTAAATCACCCTCATTCAGTCAGTTCTGCAATTATTAAGATCTAAGGTGAATCCATAGATGTGAATTTTATTTGCAGTGGTCAGTGATCCTCCTCCTCCTCCTGGGATGTTTATTAAGAAATCCTTGAGAATACATTTTCACCTCTGAGATCTTCTTGTCCCTAACTACACTTTCTTGGTATCCATCAAGCCCAGTCCATTCCAAGCCCAGGGCTTCTTGTGCAAGCTATTGATAGCATCTTATTTTCCTGAATATGTAAACAATATGTGTGTGTACCACGTGTAATTTTATGCTAGTGAGTGGCAGGGTTTTTCTTTCTGTCATATTTGGAGTCCTCATGGTTATGTTCTTTCTAATTTCAGCAACATTTGGGTTTGAGGAGCTCTCTTACTCTTCAATTTTATAGGAAGGCATATGATCATATTGTTGAGCATTATCCTCACTGGAACCGCTCATCAGGAAAAGACCATATTTGGGTAATGATTTACAGTTTAATTTAATCCACTTGTGAAGTTGAACAAAGTTATTGCTCATTTCCATTTCCTGATAGTACAGAATACTTTGGGGTTTATACTAATGATTCAACCTTGATATCTGAAGGCAGTTTTTTTCATGGGATGAAGGTGCTTGCTATGCCCCTAAGGAGATATGGAATAGCATGATGTTGGTTCATTGGGGTAATACGAATTCAAAGCATAACCATTCCACAACAGCCTATTGGGCTGACAACTGGGATAAGATTTCTTCTGATAGAAAAGGCAAGCATCCTTGCTTTGATCCTGATAAAGATCTTGTGCTTCCTGCATGGAAGCGACCTGATGTCAATGCCCTGAGCACCAAACTGTGGGCTAGGTACATTTCTCATTGAATTTTCTGGCTGGACTGTATAGATAAATTCCAAATTCATGCAAGTATAGGTTCCAAATTCATGCAAGTATAGGTGAACATTTTATGTTATTTGTCTCAGGCCTCTTGAGAAGCGGAAGACATTATTCTACTTCAATGGAAATCTTGGACCAGCATACCCGAATGGACGACCAGAAGCTTCGTAAGTAAAACTGTAAAACTCAATAGCTATTTGAAATTTATTGAAAAAGGCAAATGGTTTCCAAACAGAAACGTATAGGTCATAGGCCATGCAAAGTCGCATGGTTTTTGGGTACTTTTACTGGTTGTATCCTGTCCCACTCTCAATAAATGGTTAGCTGCCTCCTCCATCCTAAATAAATAATTAGCTGTCTTTAGCTGGTCCTTTTCCCAATTTAGCGAATAGCTCCTGCTTTTTATTATGCTGCAAAATTTTCAGCAGATCTTATCGTTTGCCAGTGGTAATTGTGCAGGTATAGCATGGGTATCAGACAGAAACTCGCAGAAGAGTTTGGATCAACCCCTAACAAGGATGGTAATCTTGGGAAACAACATGCTGAAAATGTAATTGTGTCCCCAATGCGCTCTGAAAGCTATCATGAGGATTTAGCCAGTTCTGTTTTCTGTGGAGTAATGCCTGGAGATGGTTGGAGTGGTCGTATGGAAGATAGCATTTTGCAAGGGTGCATTCCGGTGGTCATTCAGGTAGGTGGTTCTGCATATCCTGAAAACATTAAGAATATAAACGATTTAGCTTACAAACAGCAAGCTGCTTGCCAGGTCATGGCTCAGGGAAAGCACCTTGGAGCCTCTAGTCGTATGTGAAATTGCAGATGGGGCCATTTTATGCTTATTCCCAGTAGAAATGTAGTTACTGTAGCTTTTTCAAACTAAATTTACTTTTATATTAAAAGTTATGTGGCTAGGATATCGAGCTGGCTTGTAGTGTCTCTAGGTCATATAGTGTGAAACCTTCCTAATAGCATTTCTAGGAAATTTTTACCTTTATCTGTTGCAGACACATGACCATCAATGGTAGCAACTTATTTTCTAGTTTGTTCCCTTTTGTTTCCCTGTTCTTAGGATGGGATATACCTGCCGTATGAAAATGTTCTCAACTATGAAAGCTTTGCTGTCAGAATTCGTGAAGTTGAGATTCCAAATTTGATAAAGATTCTTCAGGTATTGTTTTGGTTTTAGGACTCTCTTTGTGAAATGGGTACTTTGAAACCTTATCAGGTATTGTTTTGGTTTTAGGACTCTCTTTGTGAAATGGGTACTTTGAAACCTTAAAAGCTGATAATCATTAGTGCTTACTTCCTATAGGGATTCAACGAGACAGAAATAGAATTCAAGTTGACAAATGTCCAGAAAATCTGGCAGAGATTCTTGTATCGTGATTCTATGTTGCTTGAAGCTGAGAGACAAAAAACTGCATCTGGCTATGTGGAGGATTGGGCTGTTGAATTCTCACGATTGACAGAAGATGATGTCTTTGCTACATTTGTACAGGTATATGCTTTTGTTTATGCTGGAAATAGAGCTATTTGAAATTATTTGGAGCTGCAAGATGATGTCCAGTTCATCTTTTGGGACCCAGCCCTGGCTGCACGGCAGGGTTTGACCCTCTCATGGAACTCTTATTCTCACTTAAATCCCCAAGACACCAATCACCTCCTTGCATTTACCAAGGAGTCCTATGCCTTAGGGCATCAAGACCAACGGTTGGAATTGCTATCAATCTTCAAGAAATAAGAAAACGATTCGTATGCTTCTCTTTCAGGAGAATAGTATACTTTCTCACTCTCTGATTTAGCAAAAGGATATTTGCTCACAGCACATTTTCACTAGGGAAAGCAAGAAGTTCGATAAGAACTTTCATCTGATAGGGCAGACAAAAAAAAAAAAAAAAATTCAGTTAATCAACTTTATGAAAACAGCTGAACTTGATATAAGCTATGAAGAGAAATATCCTGTAGAGTTGTGCAATCAAAAGAACTAAACAATGCTGTTAATTTTGGACAATTATGATGGATCCTATTGCAACTGCACATGAAATTGAGACATGTATGGTTATTGCTCTCTATAAGGTTCTGTAAGGGATTGTTTGATATGTTAGATATCAAGCCTGTTTAAAACCCTAATTCTACATCTTAACTTTGATTTTCCCTGTTTTGGTTCCTTCATAAATGGAGCATTTAGGACAAATAGTAGCCAAAAAAAAAAAAAAGTATCAGGAAACCCCGCCTTTTTGCAGAATGGTTCTCCGTTTTGAAGGATTTTTGCTAGAAAGACTGATTCTGTTGTTCAAGATGGTGCCCCTTGACTTATTATGAATCATAATTCAGATATTGAGATCATGTCCTGTGGCTTGTATTCCACATGGGAGTTCAAAATTTTCATACGAACCTTCAAGACACAGTACTAAGTGTAATTAATCTGCATATGCATTTTTATATATTCGTTAATAGTACTTACCTGCTATTATTGTTCTGACCAGGTTCTACACTATAAGTTGCACAATGACCCTTGGAGGCGGCAACTTGGTCCTCAGAAGAAAGATTTTGGCGTACCACGAGAATGTTTACTGAGAACCTCCTGAATAGTAATACACAAATATACATGGGTTATAGCTGTTGCCAGATCACTGAAGTGCAAAGAAACCTGAATGACGGCTTCTGAACCTTGTTGAAAAACAACACAAACAGTGCTATCCTAATCCCGAAAGCCAGATATTCTTATCCTCATGCTGCTGCCCGCCAGCTTGCCAACACATACAGGTAGATAGAGAACACGGTTGTTTTACAGAAAAGGAAAAAAAAAAAAAATTAAATACACAACATCATTTATGATATACTTGCCAATGTTTGCTCATGTTCCCATCTAACCTGTGTCACAGAAGAAAGTACTAGAAAGGCCAAAGGAAAGGAAACTTTGCTTTGTTCCTTGTTTACAGTGGTATCTTCCTATTTATGAAGAACGATCTAGATTTTCTATCATCATTTATGATTTCTGCGTTGTCCGTATCACTCTGAGTAGAACTTCATTACGCAATGCATCTGGCGGAATACAACTTCAACACTTGTTTGCCTTCACCATGCGCATATAATAAGTCTGCCACGTGATTTTGCGCGACTGTGATTAGCTTGTTTTAAGACTATCAAATTCACAAGCAAGGCTGAAAAGCCAAGATGCACTAAGTACAGCTTCTCTTTTAGGATCAGCAACGTTATAATGAGTTCCTCGATCTAGGACCCCTAGATCTATCAGAGAAAAGAAATTGAAGAATGGAATTTCAGACGAGTACTTGTTGAATAACATAAACATTTTCTTAGAATGAATTCACCAAGTTGGACCCATAATATAGTTAATCCCCTCATGCGATACCATACCTGAGTCAATAATCCCTTTGAATTTGAAGAAGAAACGTCCGACTTATTAAACTGGATAAAAACATTACCACTGCCATCACATATCTACGTTCTGGAAACAAATCAGCGACTTAAACAGTGGTATCAATCTATCACAAACCAAATCATATTCATACATCATCCAAAAAGCAGCAGCAGCAGCTTGACTAATCAACCTTCCAACCAAAGTTTATGAACTGCCAAGATTTGGTCTTGAAAGTATAAATGCAGGAATAAATGCACAATGATCTGCTTCTCAAGTAACTGCATGATTGTCGCCAACAAAAATTGGATTACCAATAACAGCATTAATTATTGAACAAACGGGACTCAGGAGGAGGATTAGGCCACGGTTTACACAAAACCTCTCTTTCTACATAAGTTTTATCTATTTTAAACTTTTTGCTCCCTCAAGTGAAACGATCGGCTAGTGACGTCTGGAATGTTTTTTCTTTTCCAAGTTAAAAGTCACTACATAAACACTTTCTCGTTCAGCATTATTCAGTCTCTGAACGAAGACAGAATTAGCAGTCTTCCTGACCATTTTACCCATCACATCCTTTCCTTCCACTCGATACGAAAGCTTGCACAATTGTGCCCTATCTCAAAACATTTCAGATAATTTTTCACATCACTTCCTTCTTGACTTTTGATGATTTGTGTTGGAGTATTTTTAAATAAAATATTAAAAAAATAATTAATAAAGTATTGAATGCATGGCATACGTTGAAGGAAAAAAAAGTACATGTCACATTTTAAGAAACTATTCAAAAACAGTTTCAAAGATCTCATTCAATGTCATTTCATTTGTTTTTGTTTTTGTTTTTTTCGTAAAATAGTCTTTAAAAGAGTATATTGAATTCTTCAAATGGCTCTATTTCTGAAGCCTATACATACAGCTTTTTCTCTTGACATTTGGACAAATTATTTTTTATACTTTGCTAAGGAAAGAAAAATACACATCACCTCTCTTTCTTTGCTTAAACAGAAAAAAATTATTTTATTTTTTATATTTGTACTTAAAAAAACCATATAATGTTTTAATTTTACATTTAGGTAAGAATGATGCTATTTTATTTAGAGTTTTAAATTTTATAAGTAATGCAAATTTCTTAAATATGATAAAATAATTGGGCTTGTTATATTTTTTAGATTACGTAGAATATATACTTGATTCATTGCATAAAAAAACAGAAACATAAAAATGCAATACTCTTATAATTCCATGAAATGATTGCAATGCATCAGCTTTTTGGATAGTTCACTGCTTTGCCTAAAGGAATAGGACTCGATGCTCTTCTATTCGTCGGCCATTTGAAACATCCGAATCTAATGAAGAATAACGGCTTCAGTCTTACCTGGTTGCATAATGTAGTAGAAATGTAAAATGTAGGGTTGAACTGCTTTATCTAAACCATGACTTGGTGTTCATGAACTCACATGATGGGAGTCTTATTCTAACGGATTAAAAGATGATAATATACCACTTTGCTATTCAAATATGAGAAAAATTTACAACTGCGTTGTGAAATCAATTTTACCCCCTTCGTTATTAAGATGACTTGAGAGAAAAATGGAAATATCTACAGCAAATACATGGTCAAAGCATCCAATATTATACTACCGAATTTCAAAGACAAGCTGTTATGTTGGGTAATTTATGTGATCCGGACACTCTGGCAAAATACAAAGTTGGCTTGAACTTGCCAAAAGAATTAGCTCTTAATTTTTGATGTTCGAGATATTGATGATGCTAGTGTTAAAACTATGCATATGGAAATACGAGACCAAAAACTACAAACTCAATCACGAAGGGGAGGATGATGAACCTAGAGAGAACATGAAGAAGAGTGAGAAAAAATAACTTCAATTGTTCTTAAAGATGAGAAATTTTGTGATCTTTGTAGCAAATCCGGGAACATCAAAGAAAAGCGTTGGTTGTTGCATGCATCCTAAAACAAAACTGAATAATTGAAACGAAAAGAAAGCAACTATTATCCATCATGAATATATTGTCTAGCTACAAGACAATTGAATTAATGTTTAGAGTAGCCAGATGAGAAATTGATTTGTATGGTTTATAAAGTGAAGTCTGAAAATTCTGCACCTGCTATCTACAACTCAATGGTTGCTAGTCAAGTCGAAAAGACTCCTGGTAATAAGTCAGGAAAGAATTATTTTGGATGTACATTCAGATTCACGTGAACAAAGTTGTAGCTTTGTATGATACGACACCACAAAGAAATCTAATTTTAGATCTGTTAGTAAAGCAGCTCTAATTACAAGCGAAACCGCATCCTCAACCATATCTGTTTGGCTGGTTAAACAAGAAATCTGAATTACAGGTGACTTAACAGTGCACTTTCGAATTTGCAATTGATGAAAAATTTAAGAATATAGTTATTTGTGATATTATGCCATCGAATATTTGTCAAGTGGTTTTTGATATATAGTCATTAACTATGAGACAGAGACAGTTTTTCATAGAAGGAATAATACTTGGGGAGACTTGTCAAAGATGGATATAGCTAGCTATCGTGTTTGTCCTGTTGAATTCTTTTTGTTAGGACCACATCATCCATGGAATTTCAAGCAGTTGGAGAACTGGTCATCTCAACTCCTCTTCAGGATATGTTCAACTCAAGATCTAACTAAAATGCCAAAAGTCTTAAGGTTTATTCTATTGTCAATTGTCAATCGATAAGAGACTTTCCGACTGTATACTGGTTGTGTTTTATTTAATTATTTAGCATGTCTAAACATAATTAAGTCTTTTTATTAGCATATTTTCCCCCAGTCATGCATGTTAGCTTCCTTTTGTATCGCAAACATAATTGTTTAGCATGCCTAAAAAAGAGAGTTTTAGGTTCAAAATCCAATCATATCCAGATCATATCAGAAAGGCCATTAATTATTGCTTATATTTGCATTACAGCTTCTATAGTTTCCTCAATTTACTAGAAGATTAATTTGTATTCTTCCTAGCATTTAACGTTAAGACTCTCGTAGCACACCTTCTTTCCAATTTGCATAACTTGCATATAGCTATTAATCAATATATAGATGATGGCTTGCTCCCTGCATGGCAATCTGCCATAGCTTGCTTCTCAAAACAAATAGCATTCTGGAGACTCTAAGCATATATAAGTTACCACGAATGCCTTGAAGAAGTGGTATAACTCTGGAAAATCCTTTCGTTCACCATTATTTTTTAAGGCAATTACTTTCAAGTACTCAACCTGTAATTTTTTCATTGCAAGACAAATATTTGCCCTTGCCTAACGTCTGCAATAAGCATTTACAACATTAATTTCTTTAATTTCAGACATTCAATAGTGATCATACACTGAAAATCTCATTTACCAAAAAAAAAAAAAAAAGTTGCAACCCTTTGCTTATATATGGGAAGGAAACTTTAACCTTTTTTTTTTTTTTTTTTTTTTGAATTTTAGAATGTGCACGAAAACATAATTGATTCCCCCTTTTTAAATTTCTTATTGAAAAACACTTCTTCAAAAGGTTTCGAAATATGAAGCCACTAGATTCTTTAGAAAAAGAGAGAGATAGAAATGGTCGTGGAACAGACGCCCAATTGCGAGCCAGTCTCATATTCCTAATTCTTTAACTGAAGTAGACAATACTCGGTTAAAATAAATATATAAACACCGAATCGGATCCCTTTTTGGTGGACGAGATTCCATATTAAACATAAACTTTTGTTGATCTTCTAATCAAATATTCAGAAAAGGCCCCTAGCTTAATTGCTTCAAAAATATTAAATGCGGAATCAGATACATTTATATATGATTATGATTCCATATCAAACATTAACTTTTATTGTTGCCCGCCCAGTAATCAAATCAAATTGGAATCCATTCGAGAAATTATATATTATTCCATTGTAATTATCAATGATTATTGGCTAATTGGATGTAACACTCCTTAAACTTCCAATCAACACAACTAAACACTTTTCAATTTTTTTTTTTTTTTGGTTGTTCAAAACATTATGTCAAAACAATGTAAGGCCTCGATAGTTCTGCATGATCACAACAACATTGCGGCACCTCCTAATTGATTTAATAATAAAATCAAATCTCTCTTTAGTAATTAATCCTTGGAAAAAACAATCTGGTTGTTTAAAGAAATGACATATTTGTTATGAAAACATGTTACATACATCATTTAGATTTTTTAACAAATAAAGAAATAGCTATAACAAAATAACTACATGGACTATATTTCCTAATTGTTAGAAAAAAAGTGGTTACCAAAGAAAATAGAATATAATAATAAAAAAATATATATATATAAAAAATTGCAGTATAAGAATAGAGCATGGAACAACTATAAGAGATAACAGAGGAATCTAGAGCTTAGAGATACCAATTACAACAAGAGAAGAAAGACATATACAAAAATCAATAATTAACTCAAAAACACTTGCAAGAAGAAAGTTTTTTTAAGTTTCAATACTCTTAAAACTTATTAGGCGGTAAATTGTAGGCATTAATTCGTAGACGATAATCAAAATAAGTTGATAGATTTGTTTTTTAATACTATATATACATATTGTTATTGTAACTAGTGTTATAATCTTCAAAAGCTGAATTTCTTTGTGAATATCATATATATAATTAATCTGGAGGAAGAATTTCAATTTATAAACACCATTTTTCATCAATAAATGAAAGTCCTTTTTAAACTTTATATATTATTTTTTCTTTAATTTTATTTCAAAGTTTTCTTAATTGAAGTCAGTATTAAGGAACCCGTAGTAAAATCATTTTATATTTTTCAGAAATTTTATAATTGTTTCCATAAAAACTAAATGCAAAGGCTATTTCTTTGAAGTATTTTGCAAAGGTATTGTAGAATTTGCTCCTCTCGAGGAAGGGTACTTGTCACGATCTATAAATTGCTCCAACTTCTCTTTACAGTTCACACTATCTTCTTTTCTCCACAATTGCCCTCAACTCAACTTGTTCTTGGTGGGAATTAGTTACTAGGCAATAGAAAATATACGTAGTCCATCCACACCACAACCATGCCAGTAATCAATATAACTTCCATTCAAACGTCATCAAATGGAGCTTGGCAAGGTGATAATCCCCTGGACTTTGCCTTCCCATTGCTAATAGTTCAGACTACCTTAATCCTAGTGGTTAGCCGCTTTCTTGCCTTCCTTCTCAAGCCACTCCGCCAACCTAAAGTCATTGCTGAAATAGCTGTAAGCAATTCTAAATTCTTTAAGATATTCAAAAATTTATGATTTTATGTTATTAATCATGATGTACATGTTGTTCAAATATATATTTTCAGGGTGGGATTCTACTGGGACCATCAGCTATGGGACGAAACAAAAAGTACTCGGATTGGATTTTCCCGAAATGGAGCACTCCTATACTCGAATCTGTAGCAAGTGTTGGTCTTCTTTTCTTTCTTTTTCTTGTAGGTCTGGAGCTCGATTTATCCTCAATTCGCCGGAGCGGCAAGCGTGCCTTTGGCATAGCAGCAGCAGGAATATCTCTCCCATTTGTGTGTGGCATAGGTGTAGCTTTTGTCCTCAGAAAAACAATTGATGGAGAAGACCGAGTCGGTTATGCCCAATTCTTGGTCTTCATAGGGGTAGCACTTTCAATCACAGCATTTCCTGTGTTAGCCCGCATTCTAGCAGAGCTAAAGCTGCTAACAACTCAAGTAGGGGAGACTGCAATGGCTGCAGCAGCATTTAATGATGTCACGGCTTGGATCTTGCTAGCCCTAGCGGTTGCTTTAGCTGGCAATGGGGCAGGTGGTGAACACAAAAGTCCCTTAATATCAATATGGGTGCTTATTTCAGGCGGTGCCTTTGTTGCATTCATGTTAACTGTGATCCGACCTGCCATGAAATGGATTACCTGCAGATGCTCCCCGAAAAATAATGTGGTAGATGAAGCTTATATATGCTTGACATTAGCTGGGGTTCTGGCGTCAGGATTCATGACTGACCTTATCGGAATTCATTCTATTTTTGGCGCGTTTGTTTTTGGACTAACTATCCCCAAAGGAGGTGAATTTGCAGAGAGATTGATAGACAGGATTGAGGATTTTGTTTCAGGTTTGCTTCTCCCACTTTACTTCGCTTCTAGCGGTTTGAAGACTGATGTGGCTACAATTCGCGGTGGAAGGGCATGGGGGCTTTTGGTGCTGGTTATAACTACAGCATGTGCAGGGAAGATCATTGGAACGTTTGTGGTGGCAATGATGTTTATGATTCCAGCAAGGGAGTCTTTGACGCTTGGTGTGCTGATGAACACCAAAGGATTGGTGGAACTCATTGTCCTTGACATTGGCAGGGAGAAAAGGGTGAGTTAGTTAATTAATTTATTTAATTTCCACTTTCCAGTAGTTACAAGTATTCAAGTTTCTTCGATCGAAAAGTTATTTTAGTGCTCAGAATCTAGAATAAGTAAATTTAGTGCTCAGAATCTAGAACAAGTAAACCCATTAGACACAGAACCAATCCACAAAGAAACTAGGAAAAGAGCAAATGAACTAGATAAAATCTCGACGAAGTGGTAGTTAATTAGTTACAGAACCATAAAATCTCAACAAAATAATCATTACCATATTATTAATCATGGTCGTTTTGGTCACTTACATTAGAAGTGGCAAAAAAGCTACTTTTGTATTTTGAAATTATAGGATATGAATAATAAATGGGGCACTAAAATTTAATACTCGAACTCAAAAGAAGATGCAGTAAGTTAATTAATTAATTATTTTGAAAGGATATGAACGATAAATGGGGCACTATAAAATTTAATACTCGAACTTAAAAGAAGAAACAGTAAATTGATTAATTAATTAATTAATTTCCACTTTCTAGTAGTTATGGTCTCCATGATCACCAGATTTTTCGGAAAGTTATTTTAGTGCTCATAAACTTACAAATCACTAGGATACTAGCCATTGAGAAATTTTATAATACTTAAACAGTAATTAGTATAAATTGTTTCATAGAGAGATAGATAGATAAAGAAAAAAAGAGAAAGAGAGAGAAGTAGGAGAGAGAAAATTTAAAAAAATTAAAAAAATGAATCAAGATTTAAAAGATGATAGGTAATTATCAATAATATGCAACTTAACGTTTTCAAATCTCTTCTAAAGCTATCCAATTCAATTTTTTATTTGTTTATTTTTTTTGTAAAAATAAAATAAAATAATGGATATTGGGGAAGATTGATAAACTGTTTACTTTCACAATAATATAGGGTATTCTTTGTAACCATAAAACTATACACCAAAATCTTAGACAAATTAAA